CAGGGTGTTAAACTTCAAAAATGCCACTTTTTTGTAACCAGATTTCTCATAAATGACCTATTTTATTCGCGCTTTTTGTAGAAAACATGATTTATAGATTATTTACCATTAATTTTTTAAAGTAAGTTACTGTGGAAACTGGTTAATTACAGGGTAGTTCGGAAATAAGTAATACAGTTTTTTCTTAAATCTTTTTTTTTATGACAGCGTTAAATGAACGAAAAAATATAATTTCACAATGCAAATATAGTGCAAGTAATTGCTTCTGGTTGATAAATCCCATTTTATACAGGGTGACTCATAAATATGATTACAGAGAGTAGATATTGTTTTTAAGCTTTAACGAGTCACCCTGTATAAACGATGTATCCTGAATGTTCTTTATTACATTAAGTACCTGTAAGATCTGTCACCCTATGTCATACATGGTGTTAAACCGATTGCAGAAACTTTAAAAATTGGCAAAGTAGTTTTTTGTGCAACACCCTGTATTTTAAAAGTTTCTCCGTCAACTTTGTAAATTAATACATTTTTAAATTAAGAAAAGTTCAGTATTTAACTGAGCAAAATTTTGTTTTAATTCTATGACCAGTTTTTTGAAAATATTAATCCAAACTTACTATAATTAAACGATTTTTTAATATCTATTTTGCTGGTCTGGAACTGCCTTGGAATACTTAATAATCTTGCAACCCGCAACAATCTAAAACTAGCGTGGGTACCGGGACACCAAGGTATCCAAGGAAATAAAAAAGCTGACGTACTCGCCAAAGAGGAATCAGATCTACCATTTACAGGACCCGAACCTGTATTTGGGCTAAGCAAAACCTCTGCCCGACAGGTAGTGAACAGATGGATATTCACTAAACACCAAATTCGCTGCCAACAGATAAGAGGACACAGAAGCAGCTAGCTTCATGTTAATGGGACTAAACCCACGCATGGCCGCTGAGGTACTACAGCTTGCAAGGCCTCAGATATTAACCGTCGTGGGATTACTAACGGGGCACTGCTTGCTAAAACACCTTCATGTGATGGGACTACTCAATGATTCTACCACGTGTAGACTGCATGGAAGAGGAAGAGACCTCGTATCATGTTATCTTGGAATGCGAAGCTCCCGCTAGGCGGCTATTTACTCTTTTCGGTCTAAAACCAGAAAAAACGCCCCAAGAACCTAGTAAAACTTACCAAAGGCACAGGACTATTCCAACGATAGTACCTGAATACGGGGAAAGCAGGAGAATACAATAGACCCAAGAAGCCGCAGTGGTATGTGCCAAACCTAACCCTGCCTGCTTATACACGACAAAGATAAAGATACTAATATGTATATGTGTATACAGACTTAGCAAAATCAAATATACAGGCCTTATTGTTAGCTATAATACTCGGCAATTGTTTATACTTGAGACGATTTGATTTATTACGACGTCACTAATTGAGTCATTAAATCTTACGAACGATGTACAGATGGTTATACAATGCAGCATCGATGCTAAATCGCTCTTTGTCTTACATAAACAATCGCCGAGATCTGTTGCTAATTCAAGACAAAAAAAAGTAATTGGGAAGATGTTAACAGCTTCTTAAAGGAACGTCTTAAGACACTAATATCTATGTCGCGACATCAATTCGACAAAAGAAAAACAACTTTTCACAATTCTTTTTAAATTGAGGCTTGGTATATCCCATACCTTTTTACAAATAATATTTAATTATTGCATTCAGAAAATGACCAGTAAAATTATATAACTAGGTAAATTCTCATTATTCCAGAATTTTGCCCCATATACTGCATTCGCCAATCAATTGTATATTTCTATTCCAAATCTTCCTAAAGCTATTCTTTATATAAATTGCACATATAACAAAATTGAGAAAATTAGTAATTTTCGAATTTTGCGACAATCTTATTGTTTACATAAAAAAGAACATATTTAAACCTGAACTAATCGTCTCGTCAAAAGTATACATATTAACAAATAATGGTCCTTTCTTTTTTAATTCAAAGAATAATGATGCATATTACGCAGAGAATTCCAATAGGTATTATGCAGAGAATTCCAAAATGACATTATAAGAACTTGATAGAGGTTTTAGTTATTCGGTTCTTCTCTTTAATGATATTTTACTTATTGTTCACATTCTTTCTTTTCGAAATCACAACGAAAATCAGTACACAAATATTGCTGCTAATTAATCACGTCTGATTTCAAGTACGAGATGGGTAGTGGAGGCAAGAAACCGTCATTTAAAGTAAATTTTTAAGTTTTGCCTCCAGTCGATCCTAGAATATCATGCTGCCAATTTACATGACTTTTACTACATCAAGCAAATATTAAGCATCCATCTGCACGTTTGTTTAAATATATTGAGAATATCAAAAATAGGACAATTGAGGAAGATTTAGATAATGGTTCTGAACTAATATTAGGTCAAATATATTTTTGTTGCACCTTATAGATACTTCATTATTAGTTTTTTTTTTTACTGTTCTCGTAAAAATGAATTGATAGCAGACCCTGCTTTTAAATTATTAACATTTTCATGTGTTATTTAAAAATAAACCTTGAATATATTTTTTTCATATATCTATCACCAATTGTTATTGCAAGGAACCATCACATAACCTTAATATTCCTTTGATACTTCAATTTCTAATTCTGTCTATATTTTTTTTGTTCCTATACATCTTTTATGCTGTCTGTATACACATATATATTAGCATCATCCAGTATTCTTAAATAATGTATTTAATTATATTTGATGATATGCAAAATATATATTAAAAAATCGTTTAACTATAGTAACTTTGGATTAATATTTTAGAAAAACTGGTCATAGAATTACAACAAAATTTTGCTCAGTTAATTACTAAACTTTTCTTAATTTAAAAATGTAATAATTTACAAAGTTGACGGAGAAACTTTTAAAATACAGGGTGTTGCACAAAAAACTACTTTGCTAATTTTTAAAGTTTCTGCAATCGGTTTAACACCCTGTATGTCATAGGGTGACAGGTTGTACATGTATTTAATCTAATAAACAAAATCAGGATTCATCGTTTATACAGGGTGACTCGTTAAAGCTGAAACGAATAAATACCCTTTGTAATCATATTTATGAGTCACCCTGTATAAAACATGATTCATCAACAAGAAGCAATTACTTAAACTATATTTGCATTGTGAAATTATATTTTTACGTACTTTTAAAGCTGTCATAAAGAAAAAGACTTTCAAAAAAAAACCGTGTTACTTATTTCCGAACTACCCTGTAATTAACCAATTTCTACCGTAACTTACTATAAAATGTTATTGCCTAATAATCTACAAATCATATTTTTTACAAAAAACGCGAATAAAATAGGTCTTTTGTGAGAAATCTGGTTACCAAAAAGTGGCATTTTCGAAGTTTAACACCCTGTACCTCGAAAACTAGTCATAGGATCGGTTTGGGCCAATGGATACTTTTTGTCAGAGCATCGAGTTCTACAACATATCAACGTTTCAAAAAATTTGACGGAAAGCCATTTTTCCATAAGAAAGGTGCCTGGTCCTTTAGATAATATGCAACTGAGAATTTATTATTTTCTTTTCTACGCCCCTTTATTACTGGTAGACCGGAAACACTTGTCGCCATATTCGTCTAGTTCACTGTCAAAATTAGATATCATCGCGATTGCAAGGTCGTTTAGGATTCCATCTTCCTGACTATATATATTCTAAGTTTCCTAACGAAAGTATACACCTACATATCCCACAAAGTAAGTCAATTATTTCGTGTGAAAGACTAATCTACAGAACAGTTTCCATGACCTGCGCCACTTTGAAAAGTACCAAGTTCCTAATCTGTGGCTTTGTCTGATTTTGAGCCTACCATCTGATTACAGCTTGAGTTTTAAGTATGGAACGCCTCCATTATCTCGAAAACGGCTTATATAATTTGGTTTATAAAAATCGTACAAGCCGTTTCCGAGATAATTGTGGCGTCCCATACTTAAAGCTCACCATGTAAAGGCCAGTGATGCCCATACTTTTTCTATGAAGATCTACCAACCAAAAATCTATAACTGGAAGATCGACACCTTTACCAAAAGTTTGTAATTCCTCAACAGTGTAAAGCAAATAAAAAATAGAGTATTTTTTCTTTATGCAATAAAATAGTATTGAGATTATTTTGCCTAATTTGCAATCTATGCAACTAATTATAATACGTTTGTTTAGTTTTCAACTAGTATCCTCAAAATATTTCTATTCTTACGCGAGGTTATGGAGATTCGCCAGCTGTGAGGCATTGCAATAAAAAATGTATTCAAATAAACCAAAATCTATGTAACAATAACGACTGATAATTCTAATGTAAAACGACCAAAACGACAAAGGTTTCAAGTTCTTCATTTTTTATTGAAAAACGAAACTAGAAACACAAGTTAATTTAAATGTAGCCAAACAAATGTTTCCTACTTTTTTAAATATTATAAAATTAATAAAGTTAAACATCAAATAAATTATTTCGACTTATCTGAAAAAAAAAAATACAAAAGCTTTGCAAAAATGGCTCTAATAATAAAATGAATAAATAAAAAATATAATAGATACACAATATACTCTTATCCGAGGTTTTCAAGATAATATTTTGCTTTATACACAGATCCATTTATCAACTTCATGAGAAATATCCATTTTGAAAAGTATCTTCAGGCTTCATTGATTCGACTACCATTTTAGCACAATATAATAAAGAATATAAATCAAGATGTGGAAGGAAAAAGTAAAGAAACAGGATTGGATCCAGCAAGATAGACAGAATGGCAATATAATGCCAACATTATTATGTTCTACTAAATATAATTATTGTTTAATAAAAATTGAACACAAATAAATACATCACAAAATAATTATTCCAAATGGTACGCAATACAATGTACGGATGTAAATGAAAACAAATTTAAAAATAGGTAAGTACGCCGAATTATTTTTCTAAACAGTACTTACGCATTAACATATCAAAATAAACATATATAAAAGCAACCAACTAGGATTACATAAAAAAAACAAGAAGATATAAAATCTCATACATAGAAATATAAAATAAAATTATTATTTAATTTATTAAAATAAAATGATTCTTTTGCGAATACAATGACCTCTCTTAAGCTAGCAGGACCAACTGGGCAGAATCGATTAAAATCTATTACATTATTTAGTACCTATTTTGTACTAATTTGTACCACCAATAAAAATTTTGTACCATGTGCCGTTTTCAAAAAAAAAACGTGGCGCTGCTAGGTTAATATTAAGCTAGCAGGACCACATTAAAAAAATAAAATAAAAAAATAAAACAAAGGTAGAATTAAAACGAACTGAATTTGTACCAATTTGTACCACTAATCAATTTTTTGTACTATGTACGGTTTATAAAAAAACACATGGTGCTTCTAGTTTAATATTAAGCTAGCAGGACCACATTAAAAAAACCACCAATCAATTTTTTGTACTATGTACGGTTTATAAAAAAACACATGGTGCTTCTAGTTTAATATTAAGCTAGCAGGACCACATTAAAAAAATAAAATAAAAAATGAAACAAAAGTAGAATTAAAAAGAACTAAATTTGTACCAATTTGTACCACCAATAAATTTTTCGTACTATGTACCGTTTACAAAAAAACACAAGGTGCTTCTAGTTCAATATTAGGCTAGCAGGACCACATTGAAAAATACAAAGGTACAATTAAAAAGGACTGATTTTGTAACAATATGTACCATTAAAAAACCTAATTTATTTAATCAAACTGCCTGAAACAACTTTCAAATTAATCCAAATCTGTTATAATTAAAAATAAAGAGACTTTTGCAGAAAAAGAATCTATTGCATAAAACACAACATAATTTGTACCGTTAAAATATAAATTTTCATAATATGCACCCCTGCCGTTCCTTAGAAACTATCCTAAATTCATATTCCTTTTAAACAGCAAAATCAATCGTTACTTCTGCAATAAAAGTTCGTTAAAATGTAAATTGTTAGATTCTGCTCCCTTGCCGTTCCTATAGAAACTAACCTAAATTCATATTAGGCTCAAGAGTAAAGTACCCTTTTGCACGAGCAGAATCAATAGTTACGCCTGCAATGAAAGTAACATAATTTGTACCAGTATAATATAAAATTTCAGATTTTGTACCCCTGCCGTTCCTATAGAAATTAACCTAAATTCATATTAGGCTCAAGAGTAAAGTACCCTTTTGCACGAGCAGAATCAGTAGTTACTCCTGCAATGAAATTAACATAATTTGTACCACTAAAATATGAAATTTCAGATTTTGTACCCCTGCCGTTGCTATAAAAATTAACATAAATTCATATTAGGCTCAAAAGTAAGGTACCCTTTTGCACGAGCAGAATCAGTAGTTACTCCTGCAATGAAATTAACATAATTTGTACCACTAAAATATGAAATGAGTCAAACAAATTAAATGAAATTTGACAAAAGTGCATTTTAGAGGATTACTCTCCTTTCGGTAATCAAAGAAACCTAAAAGAAATTGTAGAAGGGTTAACACACTCTGACATTTTTATTAAAACTTACTTAGGAGTGGCAATACGGTTTTTAAATTTTTGAAGACAAGACTAATTAATTATCTTCATTTTGTTACTCCTGTAAAAAATTGGAATTCCGCATAGTTCCAGAGGAAAAAAATGTTTTCTTAAATAATGCTAACATATATTCCTAGTACAAGTTTAATAAAATTGTAATACAAAATTTAGTTGGCAGTGGAAACAAAGGTAATAGGTACTAGTCGTGAGTTTGACAGGATACAAATTCATAATCATTCAAGTTTGTTGTTGACTGTAAATATTCGAATAATTTCTTCAATTTTGTTATCGCGAGTTATTAAATATGGATTTCTCTTTTAATGAGCAGACCGACATGAACTTAGTTCTTGGATTCTGTCAAGGTAACTAACTGTCATAGAAGTGCCCGCGTATATCAAGAGAGGTATCCGAACCGGAGAATTCCAAATCATAAAACTTTTACCCAAATGAAGATACGTCTTCAAGATACAGGGATGTTGGAACCAGTCAGAATCAACGCCGGAAGACCCCGAGTTCAAATACCTGATGCGGAAGTGGCTGTTCTTGAAATAATCGATGACAATCCTGAGATTAGTACCAGATCTGTGTAACGACAAAAAGTAATTCAAAAAAACAATGTGAATCGGATCTGCAGGAAACAATTCATCCATTTCACATACAGCTAGTGCAAGAGTTATTACAACTTGACCACGGATCACGTTTAAATTTTTTACAAATTGTTCTGAAGCGCAGAATACTTGACAACAGATTTCACACTAACTGTTTACTGATTAGTCTTGTTTAACACGTCGTGACATGACGAACCTGCACAATGAGCATGTTTATACTGATGAAAACCTCCACGCTATTAAATCTAGACACTATCAACTAGAATTTATCAATAATATTTGGATTGGATTTATCGGCAGTTTTTTGGTTCTGCCAATCCGATTGCCACATCGTCTAAATGGTGCCAGTTACCTTCGCTTCCTTCAAGACATTTTGCCAGATTTATTAGACGACTTGTCGCTTAATTTTCGTCGAAACATGTTCGTCATTACAACGGTGTACCACCTTATTTTGCACGTGCAGTAAGGGAATATCTAAACGAACAATTTCCTGGTATATGGATTGATAGGGAACAAGAAGCACCTATTCAATGGCCTCCGCACAGATTAAAATATGTGCGACTTTTTTATCTGGGAAACAAAAGTATACGAGGTTCAAATTAATACTTCTGAACAGCTGTCGAATTGACCTTTGTATTAAAAAAGATGGTCGTCATATTGAACAGTTATTATAAAAAAGTCTTGCCTTTGTTTCGACTGCCAAGTAAATTTTATATTACAATTTTATTAAACTTGTACTAGGAATATCTGTTCGCATTATTTAAGAAAACATTCTTTTCTTTCGGAATTATGCGGAATATAGAGTAACAAAATGAAGATAATTGATCAGTCTTCTTGCAGAAGAAATTTGAGAAACCGTATTACCACCATTAAGAAAGTTCTAAAAAAATGTTGTTTTTTTTATTTGTCTAAAATGCACTTTTGTCAAATTTCATTTAATTTGTTTGACTCATTTCTGAACAGCGTACAAAAATGTGTTTTTTTACGTAAACTTTGAACTCTTCTCACGGGCAAACGGTACATTTTGTTGTATAAATAAATTGGATCCAATTTACTAATTTTGACCTCTACTTCACGTGGTAGCTCTGTGTCTCGGCATTTTTTTGACATCTTGTATTTAGAGAAAGGGTTGAAGCTCTACTAAAACCAGGCTGATCTAACACTGGCTGTGAGGGATGGTTTACCTTACACTACTCATTTAATATCTGTATAGATCATCTTAAAGTACAGTATTGCTATTTGTGATTGTGCTGAAAAATTTTAAATCATCGGCCTATTGAAGACAAGTACCATTTATAAAGCAGAAAATTACGTCGTTAATAACAAGTAAGAAATCAAGATGTGAGCCTAGCAGAACGCCTGATGAAACTAATATTTCGCGAGATGTAGAATTGTGAATTGAAACTTGTTGGAAGCAATGATATATGATTTCATCCATAATTAGGATAAAAGCAAATACCTACTCGTATTTCAGACTTTTTGTAAAAGCAGAGTTGTTGAGAAACACGAATTACGCAAGTATGGGTAATGGAAATGTGACAGCCATTATAAACAGATTAATTTAACAACGACTTTTTACAGACCGAGTAGAGATTTAATTACTCTTGTCACGTAGGTTAACTTGGTAATTTATCGTTTTTTGAAATAATTCTTTTTAAATTAAAAAATAATTATAAAAACGTGCAGTTATATAACTTATTTTATAGAATGACGTCCATTAATGGATAATAATTCGTTCATATTAGGTACATTCTTCCTTAAAAATCTCCTGTTTAGGATTAGCATATTTATTGTAGTCAGTGTCTTCATGGCTCATTGTATTATAATCATAGCTACAACATGTCCATGTCATGTAATTTTTTGAAAGAAATAAGAAGGTAGAAAACCGTCACACAGTTTCTTTCACATATTATTTTTATGCAATAATAAACTCACACTAAGTTGAAACACATTCAACAACATCTCCTAAATAAAAATTATTTTAAATATTTATAAAAAAAAACAAATTAGGCAATTACATAATCTAATTTTTATTTAACAATATAAAAATATTGATATAGCTTACAAAAATCAATAATTACGATTTTTGATAGAATGTCTTCGAGTGAGTTTTGTCATTTATGATTAAATTATTATAGAATAAATAACAGGCAGACACTCAAAGAGGAAGTATTTAAAAGTAAATCCAAACTTGAAAGGGGCACTTGTAGATAAAAACGGAGTACACCTTAAACGACTTTTTCTCTTTCTATCTGTATCTATTTCTGCCTTTCATATGTATCACCTGAAAAACCTGTACACTATAAAATTTAAATAGCGAGTTTGCTCCAACTTTAACAAGTTTTGAATGTTTCGCCGTTTTATCAAGTGGAAGAAAGTTTAACTCTGCTATAGAAAGAACTGCCTGTTCTAGATGTTTGAAAAACGGCAAATCTAGCGAATAGCGAAAGATAGAGGAGAGACCATTAAACTACCTAAAAAGTTAAAACTGTTAATTAAGGTGATCACTAGTGATAATTGATAATACAATTAAGCCAAAACATATCTTTACGAGATGGTGACACTAACTAGTCCAAGAAGATTTTATCGGATACAGCCTTATTGTTCATAAGCAATATAAAATAATTATTTTCCGTCTATTTTTTCATTTTTATTATTCTTTTACAATCAGTGTTATGTTTCTTTTTCTTCGGTTTGTCTTTAGTAAGATGTCATTTTAGAGTTACTTTTAAAACTATACTACTGACTACTCTTATTTTCTTTCATTCTGTAGATCTAGAGCATTGTTTAAACCAGTTG